TTGTTGTGACATGCATATTTATTAATCATGTCACATTTTCACAAATAAATAATAATAAACATTAAAATAATGAATGATTGGTTGAAAAAATTTTGGTAATCATAATCAGTAACATGAAAACAGTCATAAGTGCACGTCAAACTACATCTTATATACAGATTATTTTAGTTCTAACTAATCCGCTCGGTTCAAAGAAAACATAATTAAAATCCATCTGATAAAAAGAAAGCAAATGGGATGTTAGAAAACACTAGATGGTGGTCATCAGCATTTTATCCGATACTTGAGACTCTCTTAAGATCTTGTATTCTAATTTACACATTGGACAAGTGTTTAATATGGGTTGATGTATTTTAAGTCATTAATCCCTATGAAATATCCTAAAGACCGATATACCCTGTGTAGTAATCTCCCTAGGATTTTTTCTCACATGGGTGCAAAATTCTCATATTCACAATTCAGACCAAAATTGGTCAAAATTTGCAAATTTTTCATGACTTTGTTCATTTTTCAAGTGGGTGCAAATGGATTTTCAGGTGGATACAAGCCTATTTTCAAAATATCAGGTGGGTGCGAGACAGAATTTCCAAATTGTTGCATTCTACTGTCAGATTACTCTTTATCAGGTGCAATGTTATTAATTGTGATTATAAGACTGTATCTGTATCGGAAATAAAATTGGAATGTATCATTATTCACAATTAGATTTTTATAGTATCCTCAATATTTGATCAATAACTTAGAGATGTTAAAGTTTAATGTGACGTTAGTTTCCTGTTGGAGACGTGACCAATTTCCTAAGTATAATATGATGTGACATATTAAAACAATAAAACAGACTTCAAATTGTCACAAAAAAACTTGTCTAAAATAACAATATATTAACTCTATGTATATAATATTTTACAAAAACATCAAAATTGAAAAAAGCGAACAATGTATTTTATAGATATTAATCAAACAAAAATCTTATTTTTAGATATCAATAATGAATTAATGATAAGATGGAAATAGCAAATAAAATAACTAACGAACATATTTTTGCAATAAACCTCAAAGATATTTTTATCACGCAGTGTAAATAAATCTTTATCTCAAAGTTCTTTCACATCTGCTTTAATAGAAACTTCATTTTCCTCTAGTGCTGTAACATTACACGCTGATTCACATAAAGACCTATGAGTATTTAAATTTATTAAAAATATAATTTATGCCTTGCTCATACTGTTCTCCTCCAGCTTATTTTGTATTTTAAACATGAAACTCATGATTTCTTTCCACATAGATTTTATAGGTTTACAGTCTTACAACCAATTTGTCTTGGCATTTTTTGAACATGGTATAAGTTACTGCATCTCGATGTGCAAGAATGCACTTGCTGCTTGTTGTACTTATCTGCATATTACACTATACTGCACTACACTACAGTACTACACTACACTGCACTGCATGTTACATCTCAGGAATATTCCTGTTTCCCAAAGAAGTAGTGCTTTCTAGCAAATAACTTGGTAGACATTTTACAATTTAATGTCGAAGTTTATCATATGTCTTGTGGGTATGTTCCAACTAAATGTTGATATTCTTAATGTGTTTGTTTTACCATTGTTGCTTCGTGTTCTTAAAGATAACTGTTTTGATGTCACCATTGATTTGATATCAGAAATCAAAACCTAATGAAATAAAGATTAATATGAGCAATATACCAGATGGCTGTATGTACTTTGTCCTCCTCAATATACTACTTTCCCCTTGTTTTAAATAGCATCTTAGCCAAACCCATTCCACAAATCTTATCTAAGTGAAAAATAATGTCCAAGTGTTCTAATTTCTATTTAAACACAACTTTGGTATTTCCAAACAATATAGATTATTTGCCACTTATTGTATTTTCAAGCTTTTTTCTCTATTTCACATATAATTTTTCTTTAATAATTCTCCATTATATTTTATTTATGGGTAAACTACACCCCCTCTCTCTTGAACCCTAGAGCATCATGGTACAAAACACCCCCTCTTTCTCATAAAGGCATCCTAATGACAAAATTTTATATTGGAAATGCATAAAACCAAGACTGTAAAAATCTGAAGAGTTAGTATGACCCAGTGAGATTAAACAAGAATTGATAATAATTCGAAAAATATTATTTTCAATATGATGACGTAGGTCGCATAAATGGATAGAGATTTGATGGGCAAGTAAACTGGTTAAGTCGTTCACTTGAAGTGTGGCGCTTGGTACCTTATGGAGATGGTTAATAAATCTGCATCTTATATGTCATAATTCGTTTTCAGATATTGGAAAAGCCTGAGAGTGTATTAAATAATGGTGGTTCGTTGTAAAGCAGATACAATGTACGTCTCTGGGGTTAAACTGTATGGATTGATGGTTGAACAGGCTACTCAAGAGACCAATATATATTCTGTTTCCTCTTAAGGGGAATTATGACGTAAACTAACGTTTATTCTGAATTGTTCGACTGAAAATAACAAGTACCACAGTTTAAGATAGTTATGATACCAAAGTAATAAATCTATAAAATATGAATGGGACTAACGTCAGAGAACAATAAAACGTAATGACAAGACATCCCAAAAATCACATCACTTATTTTGTACTCTGATAACTTTCACAGATGGCATGTCAAATATTAAAGAAAAAAAGGATAATTTAAGGACACCGTGACTTGGAAATAATTCACCATATTTTGAAAAATTGCTTGAAAATATTGTTGTGATACAAAAATACCAACTGGCACTTCAGAACAAAACAATGTTGGATATTCTGGAATCTTTTGTTTTTAAAGACTGCTTTAATTGCTTGGTGTTTTGATAACAGTACAACAACTACTATAACTGGTTGTTGGCACTTAGGGATCAGGTCAATTTTTCAATGTTGTTCAAAAACACATGCAGTAAAACCCATTTCAGGGGTGGATCTGGGAACCAACAAGGGGCAAATTTCAGGTCAGAGGAAAAACTTCCAATATTTTTTTTGGGCCCAATTTTTTTTTCTGGGCCCACCAAAAGGGGGGGGGGGGCGGGCCAACAAGTACGTACATGGAAGAAAAAATGTTCACATTGAGAAGTGTTGGGATTAGAGAGGTGTTCAAAAATTGATTTCACTGTAATTACTGGTACATTTCAAATTGGCCTTTTCCTTCTACCTAAAAATGTCACTGAATTTCTGTGTTTTTTTTCAAAATAAATCATTTCATTCTAAATGATGATGAATGTTTACAAATTATGGACGTTCCTTGCCCTCAAAAATAACGTTCATGGGATACTTCAGTATCACCAAGTATGTATTTAAAAGAGGGAAAATGACAAAAATAGATAAAATGTATGATAAGCACATTAATATCTAATGAAATAATACATGCAATTTTCATTGTTAACTTAAATGTGACAAAAGATGCTGAATACACAATATAATAAATTGTTTATGTGGTTCATCAGGTCCACTGTTCGATAATACGTAATTTCTTTTATATGTATACACCTCCTTGTATATTATTCTATTGTAAATAATTTATTTTTTATTTAGATGGAACTGTTTGTTTTGATGTAATGATTTTAACCATTAATCTGGTGTCTATGACCTCTAATGTTGTTTGTATGCATATTTGTTTTAATTCTTTATTGCAACTATATTGATCATCATAATATACAGGGTGTCAAATAAATATGTTCTCCCCTTGTAACTTTAACATCCACATAATGTTGCATTACTTTTTTGTCTGCAAGATATCTGGATTGTTCTTCAGTGCATTAAAACCAGGCTTCATGGAGCAACTCTACAAGAAGTTTCAGATGACTAGCTCAACTAGATGCAGTTTTATGCATAAAAGTTATTCTCTTGAAATTAAGGGGGGGACATATTTATTTGACACCCTGTACAATATCCAAATGACAATGGCAGTGGGAATTGAATATACTCTACTATAAGTCATTTCTTTAAACATGTTATCTCGGTACAATTTTTGTAAGACTTATTTTATTTCATATAACTAATGAATCAAGAAAGGAAATTCTTTAAATGACAAGGAAGACAAAGATTGAGAAAGTAATTCCACATAAATCAAAGCAACGTAAAATGATATAGATATCTTGTGTTATGAATGATTCCTAGACATTTGTTCTTATGAAGTGTTAGTTCTACGACTTCATCAGGAAGTTGGTTCACTGGTCATTGCCAGTCAGTGAGAAATCAGAGCCTTTTATCAGTTTCTCTCTAGAAGGAAAGGTGGGACGAGTATGGAAATTGGTCATTGAAAGGTTTCTTATAAGATACCAACCAGCTGATATATTTCTATAAGATATAGGAAAATAGCATTGCAACTGGTCTGAAATACCATTTTGACCACCTGGTTTTACAAAAGCAAGAGTTACATCTGCCTTGTTAATAGTATATGTAAACAAGTATATGCATATTTGAAATGCTATAGGCCAGGTCAGTTTATGAATGTCGATCAAATGCGATTTCATTAATTTTATCTGCGGAGGGTATAGTGATCCCCTTCATTTTGTATTTGTACCCTCTCAACAACTACTTTTTTGTAACTATAACATTGCATTATACATTTCAGAATAAAAAAATAGCAAAATGAAAATGGACATATACATGGCAATGTGACAGCATGTCACCACCTGCACATGGTTACAAAAGTGTAACAACTGTTACAGCAGCCAATTCCATGGTCTAGCCATTGGTCAAAGAATACAGTTGCTATAACAAAATATCACCCATAAAATGTGTAAGGTGAGATAAGGGGAGGGGCTCAAACTAATGAAATAATTTACTTAATTTGGCAGACATTGATATTCTGACCTCATAAGACCCCTGAATATCAAAATAAATGAACAATATTTAAGAACATATGTACAATTAGAAGGTGATATTCTAAGAGAGTGTGAATTCCTTCAAAATGGATAAGGGGAAAATGTTGTGTGAAAGTGCTGTTTTTGAATGTGTGAGGAAAAAAAACAAACAATCTTACCTTTAGATGATGCAGTAGAGTGATCAACCCTTGGACAGTATGTACATGATAGATCGATGCGATCACCATTGGTCGGGAAGAATCCACGTCCTTTTATGCGTGATGCCCGCCATGGGCATTTTGTTTCAAAGTTACATTCTGCACCTATTTGAGAAAACAGACATGCTAAAGTCATTAAGATATTCCTTGAAAGGTGCAACAGTTCCATTTTAATTATGATTGTTGCTTATCTCCAATCCTAGTATCCACTGTCTGCCGGTTGAGTCAATAATCACTTAAAATTTTAAGAATAATACAGGTATAATCTTATTTTTGTATATCAATAATTGACATCGCAAGTCAATCTAGTCGATTTCAAGCCCATGTTCAAGAATACTATAACGGTTATTGATCAATTGCCAAATAAGACAAACACTAGTTAATCTGTATCAATAATGGTCTGATTGGTCTGACCATCCTAAATCAACGCCATCAAATATAAGTGTTCCTTTGTTTGTGTTTCTTCTTAGAGAGTTTGCAGCGAAAACTCTGAGTGTCTCACAACTGCAGGGATTAGCTTCATCAAGCTATATGATAGTTAGACTCATTATACAATCAATTAATCGACTCCCTGGTTATCACCAGGCTATTAATTCACAGCCAAAAGATCCAGTCTTAAGATGCCCAGCCAATCAACGAAGGTCCTTATTTCCAAGGCATGTATCCCAACTAATGATGGAATCTGAGTGAACTCTCGCTGAGTCAAAATCTCAAATTGTGTAAATACTCAAACCGTTAGGAATCAGTAGCAATGTTTAGACTGCAATAAAACTTATTGATTCCAATATAACTTCGTAATTAATTGCTAGAAACTCCAGGAAACTCCTTGAACAGACTATTCCAGTCCTTTCTATAAAGATGATTAAATTTCAGAGTTTCAATAAATCTTGATAGAATTCTCAGTGTAAAAATTATCCTTAATTATAATTCACACACTGATAAGCCATAAACCATTTGGAAAATCCAAAATCCAACAATAAGTGTTTCAATTTCAAAGAACTTCTCAGTTTCTATATTATCTCGCCTTATCTCTGATTGGCTCTTGTACACAGTGCTAACGGCAACAGTAGAGATTCCCTCTACCTACTGATTACAGCAAGTTAAGGACTAGCTTCAACAGTTCTAACACGATAATATGATTTCCCTTTCAACTATACCACAATGGTAAAATCTGTTTTGTAAATGACATAATAAAAAAATACAGTAATCTCCAACAGAATCCAATTCTTTTATGTCTTTGAACATTCCAATGAAACAACCTATCTATCGGTATAGCTCCTCATCAAAATCAAAAGTTATTATTTTAGATAGTAAATTGGAAGAGGAGTTCAGGTATGCCTGTCAAATTCTTCATCATCCCTGGATCTCCTTAATTCTAAGCCTGCTCAGATAATTCATTTTACAAACCACTATTCTCTCCTGTCAGTTCATTTTACCAACCATCAGTTCAAAATGTCCGTCTGCTCCACATATTTTTTAGATTTTCTCTCTAAATTTTGAATGAGGTACATCATTTTCTTTGATTTTTATACAATTTGGAGTATTAACTTCTTATCCATTCACTTTCTTTCTTGTTTTTTAGCCTCTTTTGCTAGCTTTGTCTCCTTTTAAAATCATACCATTTTGATTTTATTTCTTGGTAACAACAACTGTTCCTTGGTCTGGGTTCTTGCTTTGAGCACTTAGATCACTTCCCTGACTTAATTGATGGCTATCTGAAGAAAACACTGTAAATAATAATATCCACAGTGAAATTACACTCTTTCCTGTTCATTTTTTCAGTCCCATTCATTGTAAATATAATAGGATTTTCCTACGCTTCAAAATATTTTTCCTCCATTTTAAAGTAAGCTTGAAAATGTTAATGTTTGATTTTCAATATTCTTAAAACAAAGTTATCATCTTACGAAAATTCTTTTTTCATTCACACCAGATAAATCTTTCTCAGCATAGTCATTTTGTAAGATGCTTGTTTTCAAATTGGTGTAGCACATACAAGTGACGAAGTAGATGTAATTATCACCTAGTGGTTTAGCTGTCAAACTATAAACTAATATGTGCTCACTTTGGAACCACATGGCCTTGTTATTAGCATATATAGTCAAAGTGCCCCTAGAGTCATAACTAGTAATTATGAGAGTCGTGCTTGGAAAGATGAATAAGAAAAGATAGGAGTGAAATCAGCAAGAAAAGGGGAAATAAAAGTAAAAATGAAAGTCTTAACTTGCAGCCTGTACTTTATGCTTAGGTAAAATAATCTAGAATTTCATTCAAATTGATCATGCATATTTTCCAATAATCAAAAAAGGTAATGAATATTTAATGAAAGAGAAATTCACTGATTCTATAACTGCATACTTTACTATGACTTTTACTAGCTTTTTACAATTTCTGAATCTTAAATTTTCAATTAGATTGACTCTAAAAACCCCTTATAGAACAATTTGAGCGAGTGAAAATATTAATAAGGTTTTTGATATTATTTTTAACCTCCCATTGTTTTAAATACTTTTTTATCAAAATACAGAATCTGAAAAAGCTGAGTGACATTTTAAACATTATCATTGACCTACATATCAAGGCTTAGTTATAGACTGGTATGGTTATACTGAAGAATATTAAATGACCCCAGGGGATATTTTGCCATATCAATGTGACATTTAGCTTGCACAGGAAACATTAAAGGAATGGGGCCCTAGAGAAAATTGTGATGGTTGATGGAAGAAAAGATGCAGTTAACAATGATGTGTCTGGAATCATTGGGTAAGCCACACCTCCTCCATCTCTGTCCTTCCATACAAAGTGAGAGAAATGCTATCAGGCCAGTAACCAGTTTTTGACAAGGGGGGGGGGGGCACTTTTCCAAAAAATTCTAGGGATCTCACATTTGACCATTTTGACCCAAAATCACTTGAAAAGTGCTCTGAATGGTAACTGATATAAATTGTCAATAAAATATATAATAACAATCATCAAAAATTCTTTAGTTGTAAAACACTACAAACTACTACTACTACTACTACTACTACTACTACTACTACAACTAATATAATTATTATTATACAGTGTAATGCACACTACTAAACATATAAATTTAAATTTTGAATTCATGATCTATAAATTTTCCAATGGGAAATATCTGGGTCGTCACAATCAAAACTTGGTGAAGGCTTAGGTCCACAAAAGATATGCAGTTAAGAAATAATCAATTTTAGACATCGGTCACGTAAACACTCCTAAATTGTCTACGGAGTAAATCAAATACTTGGCTGAGAAAAATATCAATTAACCAATTTTCATAATACCTGAGCCATGATCAACCTGATCCTGGTGATTAATCTAATTCCAAACATTATATTCCCATTTGTGCTATACTTCCCAAAGATTTATCTGTTGTTTTTAACAATAATTACCTTATCTGTTAGATCCATGCGTGATGATAATCATTCAGTTGGAAGGTGTAAATAACCCATGAACATGAGGGACTAATGAAAATCAAGATCAAATGATGACAAGTGAAGTAAAAGGTCCTGGAGTCTCTGGGGAATGAACTTATTGTGACTGTTGACTTGTTCTTTAAAGGGGCACTATGCTAAATATTAAATTATACCTGAGGCATTTGTAAATATCCATAAATGTTTTATTAATATCTGGATAAATGATAAAACACCACAATCTAATCAAATATATATGCAAAACTGATTCAATAAAATACAAGCAAAAAGAGAAGAGTTTAGTTTTCTATAAGGGGCCTGTCGCCCAGTCTCTCTAACATAGTATCCGGAAATAGATGGGGGGGGGGGGGGGAGATGAGCAATCTTGGTGGTCTGTTTTGTGAGGATACCAGATCTTAATCCAGACAGAAGGGTACTTTGATAAGATGTAACAAGATCAGACACTGAATCATGGTTCACCAATTTAATAATTAGTTTAATTATTGCTTTTAATTAGGCATAGTAAGATATGATAATGTTAGAGATGTTAAATCACTCTACATTCTTGTAGCGTAATGCTATAGAGGCTAGTGGTAAAGTTGATATATGAGTCAGGTAATCAATTTCAGTAACATCTAGTCTAGCTACAAGCCCGTGTGAGCCTCCCCCACTACACACCTGTGGGAAGTTATGAGGTAAAGTAGTGGGGGGAGGGCACAGGGGCTTGTAGTTAAGATAGACTAAGTGCCATCTAATCATCCAATGTACCACAAAGGGAAACCATTGGCAGATCTGGGGGGGGCAGGGGCCTTAAGGCCCCAAAAAGTGGGCTGTTTTGTGATTACTGGGCCTTCGTTTTAGGCCAAATTTTGAAGAAAATGGGCCTCGGAATTTCAAAATTTGGGCCCACTTTTGGTTTAAGGGGCCCAAAATGTTTTTCTCAGACCTGAAATTTGGGCCCCCCTTGTTGATTCCCAGATCCGCCACTGAAAAGCAAGGCTATATCTTTCATAATCCTGTATCACAAAGGTTCATGCTTTTGTTTTACAACTGCTCACCAAAACAAAGAAAGTGAAGTTCCTTGGCAGGGTATTGATTTTGAAAAATGATGCATTTTAATTCAATGAATTTTTTTGTTATCTATTCAGATGGACGATATTTGAACCAAGGCATGACAACTAAAATACTTCAAGGAAAGTTCTCAAAATAAGAAACTTAATGAAAATTAGAAGCAGTCATAACAACTAAAATCAATAAACTATGCCATCAATGTTCAAGTAAAATCCTCATTTCCTGATTTCATATATTCATCTAATTTCATATTACCTCAACCATTTTGTATTACTTGGCCTACCCAAATATAACAGAAGATTCGCATATGCTGTTATTTAAAACAATTATAAACTTTTTATTTTCCTGAAATCTAGGATTCTGTGTCTGTCAAAGAAACAGCTGTGTTAGAATTCGAAGTAAACAAACTCAGACAGAATTGTAATCTTAGATGATAGTTTCAAACTTGTGCCAAAATGTATTTCCAGTAAAAGATCTGCCTGCTCAAGAATTCAAAATAATTTAATTATTTTTTCAAAAATATGAATGAAATGTCAAAGTTTCTACTATTTCTTTATAATTCAAAGTGTAGACTTTATGCTTATTGACTTAATTCCTTGCAGATTTCCCTTTTCTTCTCACTATTTCTCATTCAAGCCATGACCCTTTAACATTTTGTTTGACA